CCGATCCAAGAAATCGCCGCGGAGCTCCGCAAGCTCTTCCGCAAGTGCATGTTTATGCATTCGTCTCTTCTTCCATCCCCTCCATGATCTCCGAGCGCCGCGCCAGCGCGGCGATGCATGCCACGGTGACCGGGGACACGGTGAAGCGGCGCGCGTACCTGGAGGGAGCCCGCCCATGCGGCGATGACGGGCGCCAAGCGAACCAATGTATTGAACCAATCAAATCCACGGTGTTCCGCCGTTCGCGGCCATCCTGAAGTCTTTTCCCTCGTGGCGACCGCCGCCGCCGCCGTCCCGCCGCCGCCCGCCGCCGCCACCACCTTTGTCGTCGTCGTCGTCGTCGTCGTCGTCAGTCGTCGTCGTCGTCGTCATCGCCGCCGCCGCCGCCGTCGTCGCCACCGCCGTCGTCGTCGTCCCCCCTCAGGGTCGGCGGCACTGGCCGCAATGCCTTCGCAATCCAGACAAGGGTGTTTCGCCGCTTCGGCCTCCAAGGAAGAGCCCTCGCTGAGGCTGGGACCGTCAAACAACGACTCAAGATGAGACATGATTACCTGGGAGTGGGTCGACGTTTCCAGGGATTCCGCATCGAAGTGAACTCAGCAAAGCACCCTAGTAACTTAGTAGCAACACAAGTAACAAAAAAAACGATGCGCAATGGTGAGAACACGGCAGTGTACACCTACATGTACCTTTTTACCCGTGATCGCGGCCGTCTGGACCGAACCTGTTGCCCGCGCCGGGGCGAGAGCACGACTCCTGCGTAGAGCGCAGTGGTTCCTCCATCGAATACAGCAGCTGGACCAGCCGACCTCGGGCTCCCCGGCCCCCCGTTAGGCTCTCCTCCTGTCTTTTTTTGACAGACTGCTAGAAACCTCTGGCGAAACGACACGAAGGAAAAGCTGCACGTGCACAGATTCTCGGAGGTCCGCGAGGATTTCATGGATTTGCGCTAGACGCATCCTCCCTGGCGTTGTGGGTGCGGTGGCAACGGACATTCTGACTGTCCTATCAGTGACTGCAACATATGTTCACACACAAGCTTGAAGCATGTTGTATATTGACATGATTTGAACATGAAATTCATGATTCTACATGCTAACACATGTTTTCATCATGCTGTGAAGATGGGGGAATCACTTGGCAACATGCCTCCTCTGCATTCCCAGACCCCCGACGCCATGAGTTCTCCATGGCGTCGGCCCTCAGAGCTCTCGACCACTCCCCGGGACCAGCGTTTCGTCCCGAGTCGACTCTTTTGTCGGCCCCGAGGCCCCGTGAGGGCCCCCAGAGGCAGAACATAGCGGAAAACCTCCCGTCGTGATTTTGTCATGACTCCAGGGGGGCGTCTGGGCGGATCGTCTCCCACAGCCCTGGCGCGCGGAACGCGCCAGGGGGAGGCGCCGGAGGCGTCGCCCAGGGGCGGCCGCGCGCCGGTCCAAGACATCCACGCGCAGCGCCGAGGCACCATGCTCAGATGTAGGTTGGGCGTGTCCCCCATAGAGGCAGGAGTTGGAATCATGTTTCTGTAAGCGAAGACGATTCAAGAGATATTCCAACAAACTCAGAGATAGTCACGAACCAACAGATCCCAGACTGTTGCTAAAACTATGTCTGCCGAGTGCTCCTGTAGAGGGACGTACCCGACTTAAGCTTAGGCGCGTGGGACCGCCCCTCCTCGGCCCAGCCTGCAGGAGAGGGCCAAGAGCTCGGACCTCTGGCGGCCCAGGAGCAGGGCGCGCGCACGGCGGCATGGAAGAAGGGGGCCTCCCGGATGCCTAGGTAGGATGGTCTCGGGGCGCAGTCAACCCGTACAGTGAGGATGGCCGATAAAGTATGCAAGGGCCTCGTGCGCCCATGCCGAAGCCTTTCGAGCGTGCCGCGGCCAACGACAGCGCCCAAGGGTGGGCCGAGAAGGCGAGGATGCGAGGGTACTCCAAATTTCGTGATAAAAGGGAGGGGGTTCTGGACCCTCCAAGACAAGCCATTTCAGACCTCCCCCGTGGGAGAACCCCCCAAAACATCGCCCCCAGACCCCCCAGGCCCTCCAAGATGGCCTGGAAGAGACCCCCCCCCGAAATGAGACCCCCCGCCCTTTGCTACGAACTCTGGGGTACCCTTGGGAAGGCTGCCCATCCTTCCGTTGGTTTTTGACACCGCAGGGATCGTTCAACCTTGAACGATCGGCCGCTGCCGCAACGTCCGATCGTTCAACATCGATCGATTCTGGGTCGCCGGCGGCGTTCAACCTTGAACGCCCGCGCTGGGGTCGCCGCTGGTCGACACGACGCAAACCTACCGTACGCGGGTTGACTGCAGACGGGGTCGGAGGCTCGCGCCGCTCCGACGACGTCTGCCGAGACACCGGGCAGGCGACGGCCAGCGCAGAGAGCCCGCGGCCCGGCGTGGGGCCGCGCGCCGGCCTCCCGGCAGCAAGGGGGCCGCGGAGCTGCGCTCGAGCGGCGTGAGGTGCGCCGCCGTGCCGTCGGAGCACCGGGGAGTGTCTCGGGCGGGCGGCAACGGGGGGGGGGCCCGAAGAGGGGGCGAAGGGAAAGGGCCACATGCGAACCCTACCCCTACGATTTCTGGGGGGGAGGGGTAGGGTTCGCATGTGGCCCCCTAGAAGGGAAAGGGTCGAAAGGAGCCCTATATAGGGCCCCTTCTGGGCACCAGCTGGCCCCAGCAGGGGGCCCGAAGGAGCCCTTCGGGGCCTTTTTTCATCACCCCCCATTTGGGTCACCCCCCATTGCCACCCGCCCGAGCGTTCGGCTGCCTATCGGCTGCCCAGAAGAATTGCCCAATGCTCTTGGGGCGAACTCACACCATGCAATGCTCACTCGCACTCAGCCCCTCACCTTCACTGCTGCAAATGTATACACACACGCACCAGGTGCGCTCCGAGGCCCCGAGGCATTAGAGGGCCCGTTGCCCGCCCCCCAGAAGAGGGCTGCAACATGCCCCAAGGCCGGCCCAGGACGGCCTGAAGGCGACGCCTCGGAGGCACCGAGATGCCCCCAAGGAGACCCGAAAGAGCCTCCAGGGAGCCTCCACGGGGGCGTCTGGAGAGCTAGAACAAAATGCGCACACACACACAGACACACACACGCACCTACATACATACATATATACATATATACATATACATATACATATATGTGTATATATGGCATAGGTATATGCGAATGTATGTAAGTATATGTGTGTTTATGTATACTGTAGAAGGATGATACATACATATAATAGTATATACATATGTATATATACTTACAAATGTATTTGTGTTTATATATATATATATATATATGTTGGCGCTGAGGGCCTCTTAGTGACATGCGTGGTGCACAGATCCCCCCGCGGCGGAGGGGCGACTTCACAATGTACCTGTCGCCCTGCAGGTCTCTGGCGCTCCGCCGGGGTGGGGGAACGGTACCGGTGCGCAGCTCTCTCCAGGGAGCCCTGGCAGCGAGGGGGTGCCAGCGCCCACCTAAGGTGTGGCCCTGGCCGAGAAGGACATCACTGCTTCTCGTCGGGGGTTGGGCAAGGCCCATGGCCCCTGCAGCGGAAAGGCCCCGGGCCGAGACTGCGCAGGAGAAGGCGCGCAAAAGAGCTGCGGCCGCAGCACTCTGGCCGCGAGCGTGCCAGAAGGCATACGCACCCATCCTAGGGCCTGGCCATGATCGGTGCGGGCGCAGAGTTGGTGCCCCTCCGACCTCTGACGCCGCGGAGCGCTTGGGCGGCCCCCTCGTCGCAGAGGCCTCCTGTGAGTGGGATGCGAGCGGATGGCGTCGGAGGGTGGCGCCGCATCGTCACTGCATCGGCGATGCATCATCGACGTCGGCGATGCGGCGATGCATCGTCGATGCCGGTATGGAGAAAATCGGGCGCCACATCGAGCCGCATCACCGACGCATCTTCGATGCGAGTGCGATGCGATCCTCCGACCCCATCTGCTCGGACCCCATCCGAGACCCTTGACGTCGACCCGTTGTCATCCTGAGTCGCTCGTTGACTATCCCAAGGCCCGGTAAGGGCCCCCACGAGGCTGAGAATTGATGGGCACGTTTTCCACCACTACCGTAAGTTGGAGGGGGGAAGGAGGTGGAGAACGAGTAGGAGGAGGACAAGAAGGAGGAGGAGGAGAAGGAGAAGGCGGAGGAGGAGGAGGAGAAGGAGAAGGAGGAGAAGGAGGAGAAGGAGGAGAAGGAGGAGGAGGAGGAGGAGGACCTCCTCCCCCTCCAACTTCTGGTGGTGGTGGACAACAGGCCCATCAAGAATAGCGAGCCACCCTCCGTCGCGATGGCTTCACGACTCGAGGAGGTCTGGGGTCTGGGGTCTGGGATCTGGGAGGCCTGGACCTCGGCATGCGCAGCGGGAGGAGGAGGAGGAGGAGGAGGAGGAGGAGGAGGGAGAGGAGGAGGAGGAGGAGGAGGAGGTGGAGGAGGAGGAGGAGGAGGACGAGCGGAGGAGGGGAGGAGGAGGAGGTGGAGGAGGAGGAGCAGGAGGAAGAGGAGGAGAGGAGGAGCAGGAGGAGGAGGAGGAGGAGGAGGAGGAGGAGGACGAACGGGAGGAGGGGAGGAGGAGGAGGAGGAGGAGGAGGAGGAGGAGGAGGGAGGAGGAGGAGGTGGAGGAGGAGAGGAGGAGGAGGAGGAGGAGGAGGAGGAGGAGGAGGAGGAAGAGAAGGGGGAGGAGAAGGGAGGGGAGGAGGAGGAGGAGGAGGAGGAGGAGGAGGAGGGGAAGAAGTAGGGCAAGGAGGGCGAGGAGAGGAGGGCGAGGAGGAGGAGGAGGGCGAGGAACAGGAGTAGGAGTAGGAGGAGGAGGAGGAGGAGGAGGAGGAGGAGGAGGAGGAGGGCGAGGAGGAGGAGGGGGAGAAGTAGGGCAAGGAGGGCAAGGAGAGGAGGGCGAGGAGGAGGAGGGCGAGGAGGAGGAGGAGAAGGAGCAGCAGGAGGAGGAGGAGGGTCCACCCCTCCAACTGCGCGCGGCTCCGCGGGGCGCCTGTGGGCCATCCCCAGCACCTCGCCCTGCGCGCAGCGCCTCGCCACCTCTTGCGGGGGGGCGGCCAGCGACCGCAACCAGATCGAGGACACACCCGGGGGGGGGGGGGGCCTGCGCATGCGGCCGGCCCTGTGCCAGAAGCTAGGTTGCTCCCATCGTAATCACAGACCACATCCCAGGAATAACTTCGAGCACCCGGAAAAGGGTTGAAAGAGTGTCGAAGGAGTGTCGAAAGAGCGTCGAAGCAGTGTCTCCCAGGGCCCGACACGTGAGAACCCTCGAGTTTCGGTACATTCTTTCTGGTGCTCGAGATTCTCTCTGGCGGTCAAGGCTAAAGCAGGTTGGAACATCATAAGCCAGAGGGACATCCTTCAAGACCGTGAGACCCTCCGCCAGCCAAAACAAGTCGAACATCCAAGGGCGCCCTGCCCAAAATGCAAAAGAACATCCAGCAAACGCGAAGATTACTAGGGCACCCTCCCCGAACCGACCTCGATCTTACACCTCGGTTCGACTGCACCAACAATCGTCAGCACACCGAAACCAGCAGAGTGCTGGTTGTGGTCGATGCGGCGTCCCAGGCCGGCAAAATCGACCTCAACCACAACCAAAGCGTTCATGTCGAGGTCGGTGGAGTCTTCCCCCAGGGGCCCTCCCGAAAAATCATCTTAATCGTGGTTGTGGTTCATTGTGATGCCCAGAACCTCTTTGGGGGGGGATCCAGGTCGCCAGCTTGCTGGCCGTCGTCGGCTGGACTTGGCAGGTCCGAGGCGGGGACTTACAGAGGACGCTGCTGCAAGAAGGAACGCCAGGTAAGGCGCACAGAGCCTATGTTTGGCACCAGAAGGGGCTGGGTGCACGAGAAGGGCTTGCAAGAACAGTCACGGAATGACCCAAGGAACAGCGAGCCCCTTCCGAACCCAGACTGGTCATTGCTCCAGCGTCTGGACTCCACAGTCGGGAACCTCTGCTCAGCGTTCCGCGGCGGCAGTCCTGGCGACACGCTGTGCCCAGCGAGCCGACAGCGTGTCGCTGCGCTCCGCGGGGCGGGAGGCTGGGAAAGACTCGGGACCTTGACGCTTGGGAAACGGGGACGCCGATGGCGCGTCGTGCCAAAGCGCGCTGGGCCAGGACTGGCGGCGCGGTATGCTAAGCAGACGTCCCAGAAGACCAGCCTCGCGATGCCCCCTCGCTCTCCCTCCTGGACGGCCCCGAGAGGAAGACTGGGGCACCCCGGTGCCGCGCTTCCCTGCGAGGGGGGGGGCCGGCGGACGCGGAGGGAGCTCCGTCTGCGGGTCACGCGTGTCGGGGGACGTCAACAGTCCACCCCTTCGGTAGCAAATCATGGGAGGGTGCCAGTGACCGCCTCGAAATAATAATGTGAAGCGGGCGCCCTGTGGGAAGGATTCCCCTGCTCGGGACAGCCTCGGAATGCACTTGCAGTCGAGGCCACCCACCGCTCGAGACATCCCCGAGAAGAGCATATGAGTGCGTGGGTGTGTGAGTGACCGAGTGTGTGAGTGTGTGTGTGGGGTACAAATGAGGATGACGATGACGATGACAATGTTGATGATGAGGATATTGGAAAGGATGGGGATGAGGATGATGATGATGATGATGATGATGATGATGATGATGATGATGATGATGATGATGATGAGGGTGGGGATGAGGATTGTGATGGTTAGAATGTTGATGAGTATGACGGTGATGACTACAATGACGATGCTGATGATGCTGATGATGGCGATAAGGATGATGCTGATGATGATGATGACGACGATGATGCCGGTGAAGACGATGATACTACTGATGATGGGAATGCGCATGATGATACTTTTGCTGTTGATGGTGATCAAGGTAACGGTGTTGAAGATGTGAGTTAGCAAGCGTGATGGCCACGTGAATTGATGGCGTCAGTCGGAAAGTCAACTGCGATTATGAGACTGACGAAAATTAGTGAAAATGCGATGCTGGTGAGAGCGATGATGATTAAGATGATGATGCTGATGATGATGACGGGAAAAAGGTGACGGGGAGGTGCTCCTGCGCAGAGATGTCCGGAACAAAACCAGGGAACTCACTTTGGATGTGGGGGGTCAGCTAGCATGCAACAGCGTGACTCATAGTTTGACCCCTCATGGTCCCTCCCCTGCCCCCCGCTACAGAGATGCATCTGCCACTTAGCAATGCCAACCGATCTCAAACACCCGCAGGAAACTTCAACAACCGTGGGACCATGACGCGAGTCCAGAGCCGTTCGGGAATGGGGAGCAGCTCGGGGAGGGGGGAGGATGCGTCACAAGAGGAAGTGGGGCGTTACGAAACATGGATTCATTCCCACCATAATGCACAATGGCTCGAAGCCTTGGTCCAGCCCGGCCGCCGTGTCGGCGTCTGGTCGCGGACAGCGATAAAGCCTGCGAGGGGCAGCACTCTCTGCTCGGCAAGCTGGCGCTTCAACGGCCCTTGGGGCAAGTCCTGCCAAGAAGATAACCACACAGAGGAGCGGGCGCATCGAGGCCAAACACATGGGCCTGAGGCCAGGAGCCCGTCACTTCGCAGCACGCGAGCACCAGGCTCCATGGGCAGCGCGCGCTGGGCTGCGCCTCTGCCACCGCGCGCGCACACGAGCATGCAGCCTCCCTGGCCCCAAAAAAGAGGGCCGCGAGCTCCAGCGCGCGCTGTCCATTGCACACGGCTGCACGGCGCTCGCGCCTCGCCCCAGGGACCAGCAGCCTGCTCTGGAGGCACCGTGGGCACACCCACACGGCACACGGCAAGCCCTTGCAAGAAGAAAGCTTTGGGCACACGCGTCGCCAATCTTTGAGGGCCCTCAGGTGCCCTGGGCCTTTGGTGGAGGAGGAGGAGGAGGAGGACAATAAACTTCTGGGGGGCACCGGCTGGCAGACCAGTGCATTATCGGATGCACCCACTCCACGTGCACCGCGCCCTCCGGCTGCGCACCGCGCCCCACCCCAGGACCTCCTCATATGCCGCTACTGCGCAAGACGCTACTGCGGCATCGCGTTCGGCGACCGGGGGACCCCAGTGTCGGGCGTTGGCACAACTGGGTTTAGTGGGGCCTGGTTTAATGATGTGCACTGGGGGACGCCCCCCCCGCCCGTTCCACTAACCGGAACAGCCGTCACCCGAAAAAACACCAGCTACGGCAGACCTGGTTTGGTGAGTCTGGCAAATTTGGAGGCTCCAGGGCCCCACTACTAACTAACCGGGCCCCCTTACATGGGGTCCTGGCTATACCCGACAGTGGGCCCGCACCAAAGGTCACTCCGGCGAAAGGTCACTCTTACGCGTAGCCGACTCCTCTGATGGGCCTGTTTTCCACCATCACCATGACTTGGAGCGGGAAAGGAGGTGGAGGAGGAGGAGGAGGAGGAGGACGAAGAGGAGGAGGAGGCCGAAGAGGAGGAGGAGGAGGAGGAGGAGGAGGAGGAGGAGGAGGAAGACCCCCTCCCCCTCCAACTTCTGGTGGTGGTGGTGGTGGTGGATAACGGGCCCTCCTCCCCCTCCAAGGCGGCGGCCGGACGGCACGAGGAGAGGCCCATCGGCGCCCGCCCCCCCCACCCCCGGAGGAGAGAGAGGGCCGCGGACGGCAGCCCACGGGCCACGCGCCTGCAGCGCCCCGGAGGCCGCACCACCTCGGGTCGGGCGTGTCCCCCCTGCGGGCGGAGGGTAAACTGAGAGACGTATGGGATCTCTGGAACCCCTGTGAGGGCGACGGGAGGAAGATGAGGAGGAGGAGGAGGAGGAGGAGCAAGAGGAGGAGGAGGAGGAGGAGGGGAGAATTCAAGAAATATTGAAGGGGCCCTGGGACACACAAACAAATGCACACAAATAAAAGGACTCCCCATACTGTCCCACATTTTCTGGGTGTTTGTCTTCCCCCCCCCCACTTCCCATAGTTTACCATATCTTCCTCACTTGTGTCTGCGTGCTTCTTTCCCTCCTGAAATATGCAAGACAGAAATCAAAACATCAATAGATGGGTCAAACATGTTCAAAGAAACAACATCTCCAAGAAAGACGACGTACCCTTGAAGATCCCAAGACTAATCGAATGAGGAAATCGTCCCGAGACGACGTATTGTTGAAGATCCCTCCCTGTAGAGGGGCGTGCCCGACTGAAGCCTGGATTCGCAAGAGGAGCAGGGGTACCCTAACTAACCAGAGCAAGGGCTGACCCACACCCGACGAAAATCGGTTGGTGGGTTTGTGTTCCACCGCCACCACCATAAGTATGCCATAAGTAGGAGTGGGAGGTGGTCCTCCTCCTCCTCTTCATCATCCTCCTCATCATCATCCACCTCCTTCCCCCCTCCAACTTATGCTGGTGGTGGAAGACAGGCCCATCAGCGGTCCCCGGACCCCTCGATGGGGTCCGTCCTGACCCGTTCCCCGAGAGGCGGATCCAGCCGTGGCGGGAGATGCCTCCAGGAGGCCAGGAGAGAACGGAAGGCGCCCGAGGAGGGCCGCCGCTGTCTCGAATGGCCCTCCTCCGACGAATGGGTGCACGGGCCGGGGGAGCACGACATGCGCAGCACCCCGCAGCTGCGGCTGAGAGTGAGGGGGGCGGCGAGGACGTCGTCAGACTTGCGAGGCTCTGGAGAAGCCCGCCGCAGGCGCCCGACTTTCTACGAACTGTGCATTGGCCCCGCCGCAGGCGCCGATTTCTTCGTTGACACAATGTGGGTGGATCGCGGGGTGGGTCGCGTGTGGGTCGCGGGCCGTCCTGACCAGGACTCCGCCACGAATCCAGCCGCGGCGACAAGGGCCTCTCACGAAAGGTCGACGGCATCGGTCTGTTTTCCATTGAGCAAGGACCGACCGTCCTGGCATTCCTATAGGCCTGCCACGGAATTTTCTAAAAACAAAACAGTCCCAGCCAGAAACATGTTCTAGTAACATTCCGTGCAGACCACAGAAGGTTCTTAGAATATTGTTTGGTAGGCCCATAGGCACGCCAGAACGCTTCGGCACTGCTTGATTC